CGGCTCCCCACTCTGTCTCTGGTGTATCCTCTCACCCCCCACACTTCTGGCCTGTACCCCAGTTCTTGTGTGCATAAAGAAATAAATCTTTAAAAAATAAAAACAGGCCCTCCCTGGTGGCGCAGCGGGCTAAAGCACAGCACAAAGAAGCTTAAACCACTTCTGCAAGAGTTCGATTCCCGCCTGCCCCGGAGGAGATCCACATGGCGAGGCAGACCTCTCCTGACCCACCCGCTGCTCCCCTCGGCAGTGTACTTCGTTGATCTGCCTGTTCTGCTCCCCACTCTGTCTCTGGTGAATCCTCTCACCCTCCACATCTCTGACCTGTATCCTAGTTCTGTACAAATAAATAAATAAATCTTTAAAAAAAAAATAAATAAAAACAGAAAAGAGGGCACAGTAGGGAGTTATATGTTATGTTGTCTGACAGACAGGTAGGATGGGCCGTCTTCAGCAGAAGGCCTTAAGGTGGGGAAAGTGAAGTCCCTGAGTATTCAGCACAAAGAATCACTGTGTGTTTTTCCCAGTTCTGTGGGGAAGTGGGCGGGGGAGCGGGAGTGTGTTTGCACACTGTACACCAGCAGCAGCAAGTCAGCTCAAGACTCATTAATGGGCTTAGCGGGGTTCTCCTTTTCTGGACAATGAAGGAGACAGATGAATATGAATGTGCAAATATTTAAATAATAACACCCTCTGGCCCAGAATGCAGATAATATGGGAAATGTTTATGATTTATTTGTTCAGTGAAAAACGAAACAGGCAGATCAACATAAATACACTGTCAGGATACAGGCTGCCATTGTCAGTGTCCCCATGGCTCTCTCACCCATGTCTGTCTCTTTCAAGTGTCTCCTTGCATGTCCCCCAAGTCCCTGGCACAAGTCCAAGGCCGAGAAGCAGAACTGTCTTCTTCACATGCTTCCTCCATGTCTTCTTCCCAGTCTTCAAACTTCTTGCTGCTAGGCTTTACCTTCCCTTGGGTGGGACAGGGAACCTGGAACTTCCCTTTCTGTTTTTATTTCTTACACAAGAATCACTTTGTTTTTTAAAGATTTTACTTTTTTATATATATATACAAGAACTGGGGTGTAGGCCAGAGGTTGTGTGTGTGTGTGTGTGTGTGTGTGTGAGAGAGAGAGAGAGAGAGAGAGGATTCTCCAGAGGTAGAGTGGGGAGCAGAACAGGCAGATCCATCGAAATGCACTGCTGAGGGGAGCAGTGGGAGAGATAGGAGAGGTCTGCTGAGCCACGTGGGTCAGCTCCCTAGCTGGGAATGGAACTCAGGCTGCAGTGGCTGGTGATAACTTGATAGTGGGAACTTAACTCCTGTGCCACCAGGGAGGCTCCTGGATCCTCCCCTTTCTATGGGGATTACACTGTTAGGATATGTAGTAGCAAATGTGAACAGGTGTTCATTGTTCAATTGTAGTTTTTCTGTAGTTTTGAAATTTTTCAATACACAAAACTTGGATAAACAATAATAATATAATATTGATAGAATAGTTTATATAATATATATCAATTATATAGTATAAAATAATATAAAAAATAAACAAAAAGCTTTGTCCCGGGTCATGTTTTCTGTGAATCCTTTCATGACATCCTCCAATTGTGCCTGTCCCCAAATGCATGCACAGAAAACAATGACTCACTCTCTTCTGCACTCTTTCGTGCTTATCTCTCTGTCGGACCAGACTACAAGCTTTTTGATGTCTGGGTCTATCTGTGTTGTATTGGATCACAACATATATGGAATAAATATGATAACTTATTTTGGGGAGAGCTCAGCTGGCCTAAAATTATTTTCAAAGTTTGTATCTCCATAATGCTAGGACACACCTGACACAGATTGGATGCTCAGTTGAGTTTTCCTTTTTTTAATAAATCAGGTTGGATTTTGAGGCTTGGATAGGCTTTAGTAAACTGACAGGAACAAGAAAGATCTCTTAAGAGAGAGGAATGGCAAGAAAAAAGGAAGCAAGAATGTCTGTTTGGTATAGTAAGAGAGGAAAACTTTTCCTCTACACTCTAGGATCTCCAGCTGGACAGGGATTGAATTAACATCAGACAACTTAACAGGAGGAAAAACCAACTTAATTACTTACCCGTGTGTCACTAGCAAGAGCGTCTCAGAGACAAACAGACAAAATTTATATCTATATATGTATGTACATACATACATACATATACACACATATATACATACAAACACACACACACATATCCTGGTCTAGGGAGAGGGCATATAGAGCTGGGAATTCAAAGGCAAGGAAGGCAGTTGACAGGAAGATGAGATCAGAAGTCTGATAATTCCACCCAAGTGTTTGTCATGCCAAGCAAAGAGGATGAGGACGATGATGAGGATGCAGGAAGGAACCTGAATAAGCAGAACTTGACAAATTCCCCCAGTCTATCACATTTAGCTCATATCCATTGGAATTAACTCCCTGATGACAGCTCACTTCCTGCAACTGGCTTTCTATCTAAATTCCTTAAGGTAGCTAAAGAGCAGGGAGGTGGGGAGATAAAAACTCCTCCTGTGTTATTTGGTGCTAATTGTCTTCAGCTTTAAACAATCTACAGGCCAAAGTGGCATATTTTGGGGGCACGCATTCCTATCTCCAGCTTTTAAACTGTTTGGTTAGTACTGAAGATTAATATAGGTGAAAATGCCAAGGACACTGTAGATTCTTAATCATAGTTTGGTGAATAAATAAGGTTTGAAAATTAGGCTTTAATCATATTGGAAGATGACTTCACTATTGAACTTAGAAGTCTAAATATTCACTATTTCTTAAGATGGGGTCTTTTCACAATGGTGGCAAGAAATATGTTCTTGGTGGCCCTCCCTGGTGGTGCAACGGCTTAAAGCGCAGCACTGAGAAGCTGGTGGGGCTGCTTTGGTGCCAGTTTGATCCCTGCCCTGGAGGTGATCCACATGGCACAGCAGACCTCTTCTGTCTCGCCCGCTGCTCCCCTTAGCAGTATACTTCTGCCTGTTCTGCTCCCCACTCTGTATCTGGTGAATCCTCTCACCGCCCCCGCACCTCTGACTTGTACCCCAGTACTGTATGCATAAATAAATCAACCTTTTTTTAAAAAAGCGTGTTCTTGGCAAGTCCACTACATATGTTCTTCTCTAAATATTAAGGAAAAGTAGAGATAGGTGGGAATTGAAAAGGAATCTGTTTCCAAACTCAGGAGGAAGAAGCAAAAACTCTTTATATTTATAAAACCCCACAGCAGAGTTTTAAAACATATAACACCCCTCGCAGGAATATTGGCTTAAAGAATAAATGAATGAATGAATCTACTTAGTATGAGTCATGCTCTTATTTGGTTACTTTTACTACATTTTCAAAGTTCAAAAATCATGTACTTATGAAAATAGCTAGACACTAACACTCTTTTTGGGGGATTCCACGTTACTCTCTAGATTACAAAGCCCCTCAGATGGCATATTTCAAATGTTAGAATAAAACTTTTTAAATAACTTTAGCCCAACTGAGCTATTCCCAACAATACATTTCATATTTATTCAGTACTGGTGTTCTGTTTTCTTCCTGCCAATTTAAGTAATACAGAGTTACCTGAGACAAAGAAAAGTGTGCTGTTTTTCAAGTTCTCTCTTCTTTGACCACTCAGAAACAAGCTGGCATCCATTTTGTCTTTTCCTATAGTCACAGCATGCATTTACATAGCATCCAAATTGATGGGGGAATGAATGAGACTGAAGTGATGAGTCTTTTAGTTGTTCTGCGAAACAATTTGTTAGTTTGAAGTTATAGTTCTTTTAAATCTTCAAATTTTACAAAAATCTTAGCTGAAAGGTGATGTAAATTTCAAGTAGATTTTTTTTATTATAATAGTTTGTTTTTACATCATTTTGTGCCTTTTTCCATCTCAGTTGGAATCCCCGTGGGCTTCCCACCCCTGTGCCACCACCATAGTCCCATGCACTCCCCCCACACCTGTTTTTGATCCCATTCCCCACTCCACCCCCGTAAAATATCTCTGGCATATAGTTGTTCATTATTATTATTTCCCCCCCGGTCCTTTATGCTCCTGCTATGAGTGAAACCACCCGGTATTTTTCTTTTTCTACCTAGCTTATAATTTTTAAATCTACTTTGAGTCCAGTTATGACGCAGCATTGACTTGTTGCAGAAATGTTAACGTGTTATCTGGGAAGAAATCACTGGTGGATGGTAAAATGACTTGCATGTGGGAAATCTTCTGAAGTAGACAAAATAATTTAAGCTGTCATTTCAGCTAATAAGTAAAATTGAGTGATAAATCATTTGGCTGTATATACAAATGAACTGTGGCACAGCTTAATTAGTGCCAACTGTCCACCACCAGCTGACTTCACCATAGATGAAGGCCTGTGTATCAGTCAGCAATGTTCCTTATAAATAGCCCTGATGTGTTTGTAAGCAGAGCATGATTCTATGGCTACAATCACCAGAATCATATCAGGCCAGCCCACCAAGAGGGGCCAAACGCCTATCTCGCTACAGTTTGATAGAGATTAGCATATCCCATGAGCCAAATGTTCCCCAATTTAAAACATGATACTGCCCCTTCAGAGAAAGTAAGTTTTTCAATACAATAGAAACATTCAGCGTGTTCAGGGTAGTCCTAGAATTGAAGCATAAAATAGAGATCTTGTAACAGATCATTTTAAAACGTGGGAGACAGATAAGAATTAGGACTTGGAAAATAAACCACTGTGAAGATAGACAAAAAAGAAAAAAGATATTTAGTTTTTCTGAAGAGCCCTCCAAGTCCTCCCAGCAGCAAGCAGCTGTTGCCATGGAAACCAGAATGCCTGGCAGAGGGGCATTGTGACGCAGGGGGTAGGGAGAGGATAGTGACCAGTGACTGGTCTTCTCTCCCTCAGACCCTCTCTAGATACATTGCAGCGCTGCTGCTTCCTGAACTTGCTGCGGGAGTGGTGTCCTGCACCGGCCTAGAGAGACCACAGTTCCATCACCTTGATGACAACATCTTCGTGTTCTCTTCCATCTCAGGCTGTCCCACAGCCCTCGGTCCATGGTCTCTCTCAGATAACTAGCAGCCTGTATATCAGTAATGGTGTGGCTGCCAATAATAAATCAATGCTGTCCAGCAACCACATCACTACAGTCATCAACGTCTCAGTGGAGGTGGTCAACACCTTCTACGAAGACATTCAGTACGTACAGGTGCCAGTCGCCGATGCTCCCAGCTCACGCCTTTACGATTTTTTTGACCCTATTGCGGATCACATCCACAGTGTGGAAATGAAGCAAGGCCGCACGCTGCTGCACTGCGTTGCTGGCGTAAGTAGATCCGCCGCCCTCTGCCTCGCTTATCTGATGAAGTACCATGCCATGACTTTGTTGGATGCCCATACATGGACGAAGTCCTGCCGCCCCATCATCCGGCCCAACAACGGCTTTTGGGAACAACTTATCCATTATGAATTCGAACTATACAGCAAGAACACCGTGCACATGGTCGATTCCCCAGTGGGTGTGATCCCCGACATCTATGAAAAGGAGGTCCGTTTGATGATGCCAATGTAAGACATCCCGGCCAGCCCATGACATCGGCTCGAACTTTTGGTGGTTAAAAAACCACACAATGCCTTTTAGAAAGGCATGTTAAAAGAGAGGGTTATTGGAATTTTTAGCTTAGTGAGTCTTATCTTTAAATCAAATTAAAGTAAGATCGCAAAGAATGTTTCTTATCCTGTGGTGCTTGCTGCGACTTCAGGGGGAGTGGGAGGTTGGGGAGGTGGGGAGTTGGGGAGGTGAAAGATGGAGGGTGGGGGGTAAGGTGGTGGACCCTGGGCTGGGCACATGTTTGGGGAGCCTGGGGTTGGGGGTTGTACCCATTTCAAGTGGCCCAAACCCTGAGTCCTGGCCTTGCAGAAACTAACCCAAGAGTCAATCCCAGGAATGCAGCTGGGTTCTTCCCAACCCAAATCCAGGGCCTTAAAGTGGGGGTGCCCCTCTGCCTCTCATAGTAAGTGCCAACCTAACTGCCTTTGTCAGGGTGCACTAGGAGCCCTGGGGGAACTTCAGGACACCCTCTGTCCCACCCTCAACCACTATAGTACAATTCTGGTTTTTTAGAAAGGATATACATAGAAAATTGTTTTCAAAGAAATCATTCTAATGATATAAGGTTTTAAAATAATTTTTGAGTAGCAAAGTCTCAAAGTGCCTTCAGCAACCCCCACTAGCCTTGCCCAGGGCACAGTACTGAGAGACAACAGGCCTGTGAGGTGATGGTTTGGGAAGGGTGAGGGTGAGGTTTGGGAGTGGGGTGTGGAGGAGGAGTAGGAGGGTGAAGATGTGAGATGGAGGAGTTCTGTCTCCTTATGGACCCTGGTGGGGAAAGCTTGAGCTGCTGGCCAGGATGCAGCTCTGTCACCTATGATACATCCTCTCACCAAGACCTAAGGCCTCTCAGAACTTCTGTTTCCTCACCCGTATAGGACCCCTTTGTATGGGTCCTATACGTGAATGGTTTCATGCTTAGAGCGAAGAGCAGTTCACATTATGAATGATGTTTTTTGGCCCGCCTGGTGGAGGGTCAGTACATTCAACCCCACAGTGGCATTTTCCCCATCTGTCAAGAGGCCTTAGTTGTCTACAAAGTGCTCTTCTCCCAAATCATCCTGTCTGCAAAACCAAATTAGCCTCAGTTTCCTTAAGCCCTTACTTCAGAGGAGGCCTAGATTTCTAGCCTTTTCAGAGTTCCCATTGTGTCATTGTGTTTAACCCATATGCAAGCCAGAAACACAATTCCAACTTCCACCCAAAAAGTTCTTGTTTAAGAAACACGGACCGGCCCTCCCTGGTGGCGCAGCAGGTTAAAGCACAGGACTAGGAAGCTAAAGCCACTTCAGCATGAGTTCAAGCCCTGCCCCAGAGGGGACCACATGGCACAGCAGACCTCTCCTGACCCACCCACTGCTCCCCTCAGCAGTGTGCTTCACTAGTCAATCTGTTCTGCTCCCCACTCTGTCTTTGGTGAATCCTCTCACCCACCGCATCTCTGGCCTGTACCCAGTTCTGTATAAATAAATAAATCTTTAGGAAAAAAAAAGTCATGGACCATTAGAATCAGTGCCTCAGTGTGTGCCAGGATCCATAGCAACACTTGCCAAAAAAAAATAATGAGTGTGCCCTAGAAATAGGTCCTGCAATGCAGGATTGTTCAACCACCCCAAGTACTAGTTTGGGACCAGCTATCCTAATCCAGAGGGTTCTAGATTATTTTATACACACACACACACATCCACACATATGTATATGTAAATATATGTGTATATGTACGTACACATATAATCAATTTATATATATATATATATATATATATATATTTTTTTTTTTTTTTTTTTTAATGTACAGCTACTTTGGTTAACACAGACCCATGGGTCCAAAGCTCGGTGCAGTTGGAATATCTTTTTTTCCCAAACTCACTCTCACCTCCACTTCTACAACAGGAGTGGTCAGAGACTCAATTTGGGTATGTGGGGATGGAGGCCCCTATGTAAACCAGTACTCTAGACAGATCTCCTTTTACAGATAGAAGCATAGGCTCACAGAACACAAAATCTGGTATAGCAGAGTCCTCACAAAGGAATCCTTCTGGCACAGACCCAGACAGAAAATTTATTTTCAAGTATTTTTTTAAAATAAATTTGGGGGACCTCCCTGGTGGCACAACAGGTTAGGATGCAACACTGCAAACTAGCCACAGCCATCTCAGTAATAGTTCAATCCTCAGAGGTGATCCACATGGCACAGCAGACCTCTCCTGTCTTGCCTGCTGTTCTCCTCAGCAGTGTACTACGTTGGTCTGCCTGTTCTGCTCCACACTCTATGTCTGGTGGATACTCTGTACCTCTGGTCTGTATCCAGTTCTGTATGCATAAATAAATAAATCTTTTTTTAAAAAAAAAAGTGAAAAAATAAATTTGGTTATATGTGTGTGTATATTTTCATTTTTTTTTTAAAGATTTATTTATTTATGCATACAGAACTGGGATACAGGCCAGAGGTGCAGGGGCGGTGAGAGGATTCACCAGAGACAGAGTGGGGAGCAGAACAGGCAGATCGATGAAGTACACTGCTGAGGGGAGCAGCGGGAGGGTCAGGAGAGGTCTGCCACACCATGTGGGTCACCTCCAGGACAGGCAGGGATCGAATTCATGTGGAAGTGGCTTCAGCTTCTTAGTGCTGTGCTTTAACCCGCTGTGCCACCCTGGACGGCCCTATTTTCATTTTTTTAAATAATTAAATTGATAGACCATAAAATTAATTCTCTTTGGATGTACAGTTGAATGAATGTCACTCAGGCATATATTCATGTGACCACTGCCACAATCAGGACAGAGCATTTCCATGACTTCAAAAGTTTTCCTCATGCTTCCTCTTTTTTCCCTAGGTATGGTCATTTCCCAGTCCTGTAAAACCCTGATCTATTCTCTGCTGCTACAAATTTGCTTTTAACAGAATATCACATAATGGAATCATATGGTATGTAACCTCTGGAAACTGTCTTCTTTTATTTAAGCACAATGTTTTTGAAATTCACCCATGTTTTACTCAGTTAAAGGTTGTACCACAGTATGTTTTACCATCATCCATTGAATCAATGTAATTTTTATTTGCCCAATGAATGCATTTATGTTAGTTGCCCAGGAGGTGTTATTATGAAACACCAAAAACTGAGAGCCTTGAAACAATAGAAGTTTATTTTCTCACAGTTCTGGAGGCCAGAAGTCCTAATCAATGATTCAGCAGAGCGGTAATCCCTCTGAAACCTGGAAAGGTATATCCGTCCTTAACTCTGTAGTTTCTGGCTGCTGGCAACCCTTGGTCTACAGAAGCATCACTTTAATCCTGGCCTCTATGTTCACACGGCCCCCTTCCTCAGTGTTTTCTCATCCTTCTTCCCTCTGTGCTTGTCTTTGTCCAAATCTCTTTCTCTTTATAAAAATACTCATCATGGACCTCTCTGGTGACACAGAGGTTAAGTCTCAGCTTTATGAAGCAATTCGCAACCACTGCAGCCAAGAGTTCAATCCCCCACTAGGGAGCTTACCCACATGGCGCAGCAGACCTCTCCTGTCTTGCCCACTGCAACCCTCAGCAGTGTATGCTAGTCAGTCTGCCTGTTCTGCTCCCTACTCTGTCTCTGATGAATCCTCTCATCCTTTCCCCCACATACCTCTGGCCTATAATCTAGCTTTTGTATGCATAGATAAATAAATTTTAAAAAAAGAATACTCATCATGTTATGGGCTCATTCTATCCTAGTATGACTTCATCTTATCTAATTACAACTGCAATGATCCTATTTCTAAGTAATGCCCTCCAGGGCTTGGAACTTCAACATAGTTGGGGGTAGAGGGTGGTGATATTCAATTAAGCCCACAACAGGTTTATTTCCAGGTTTTGGCAAGTATGTATAAAGCACAATAACAAACACACACAATGAAAGGAAAAGGATCATGTCACCTGGAAAAACAGAATTGTCCTAATTTAAAAGTAACCTAAGAAATAATAATTTCTACTTATTAGGAAACTATTATATGTCAGGCTTCATGTGATGGGGCCAGACCTCAAATCTGGTCACTGAGGATCCAGGGTCTGCCATCAAACCTAGTCAGTAGTAACAACCATAAGCTACCTGTAACACAGTGAGCACTCTTATTTGCTTCATTTAGTTGAATCAATTGGTAGCCTTCTATCATCTTTGCTTTCTCTCTTAATGTAACACTTATTTTTCCCTGGACCAATGAAAGTAAATTACATATATCATGATACTTCACCTTGAAATATTTCAAGATGCATCACTTAAGAATAAGACTATTCTCCTACATACAACACCATTGTTGAAACTAACCCAACTAATTAAGTTCCCTAATGTTCAGTCCAAATTTGAAATTTCCCATTTATGTCCCCAATGTCTTCCAGTGATTTTTCTTTTCTAAACAAGATTCAATAAAGATCACACATTACACTTCGTTATTGTATTTCTTTTTTTCTTTTTAAAGATTTATTTATTTATCACCAGAGACAGAGTAGAGAGCAGAACAGGAATGTCGAGTGAAGTACACTGCTGAGGAGAGCAGAAGGAGGGTCAGGAGAGGTCTGCCATACCATGTGGGTCACCTTCTGGGCTGGGAATCGAGTTTGTGTTGCAGAGACTATAGCGTTGTGCTTTTTAACCCATTGTGCCACCAGGGAGGGCCCATTATTGTATTTCTTTTAATCTAAAACAGTGCCTCTATTCTATTTCTCCCCCATTGACATTGTCTTTTTAATGAATCCAGAACTATTTTGTGACTTAATTTTTAGCACTCTGGATTTGTACAATTATTTCCTCAAGCTGTTGTTTAAGTTATTCCTTTATCACCTGTAGTTTCTTTTTCCTTCATTTAAAACAACATCCTTACTTATTGATTAACAATATAGGATTTTTCCCCCAAATGCAATCACCATACTTTTCATATCACCAAAGTTCCACAGTCTTCTACCACCCTCCAACATGCTCCTCTTCCTCC